TTACATATACCTTACATTGCTTAATATATTACAAATACAGTAATATTTTAATTTATAGTAATTTATAATTAGTTTCAGTCTACTGAAATGCCGAATTAATTTTATGTATCATTATGATTTATATAGTACAATAAAATACACTTAAATTCGTATAAATATATCTAATTTATCATTCTACAAACATAATATGATTGAATGCAAAAAAAATAAAATTCTTCAAAATATAAAGATTACGATATAAATTATGCATTTACAATAATTGTCATTCGAAATACAATAATTATTAACGTACTCTTCTTGAAGCACCATATTAAATCAGGATTAGAAAAATTCAAATTTTTTAATATTAATCTTCAATAATTCTCACAACCAGTCACTAATTAGCAATTCAATTTGAGTTTTATTATTTTTTAAGTTCCACTTTTTGTGAATGTTCAAAACGTTTAGCTTTGCTAATCATGGAATATTTTTTTAATAGAAATTAAACTAACAATAAAATGTTCTTTTTTCATTTAATAAAATATATTTACAATGTTTATTAACTGTTCAAGTCGCTCATGACTAAGTAATGTTAGTGACGTTCTTATTATGTTTATACATAATTAAACGTAATTGTTTCTGCCCCACATGTGTACATATAAAATATATGTACATTTTATAATTTTTGGTTCATTTCTTTCAATAACTATTTCTAATTAAAATTACAGCGAGAAACAATCAGTTATGAAGCCAATCAAAATTAATATATGTAGATAAGAGTCACACAACTCCTAGATCTGATATCACAATGGATGTCTTATACAAATGTATGTGTCAATATTCATTTCAGTTTTTTGCATTTTAACGAACACTTTAACACTATTTCCTTCTCTTGTAATTTTCACAATTTCATAACAAAATCTTATTATGGATTAAAGTATTCATTCCATTATTAAAATAAAAATCTTTTAATCGCTATAAACAAAAACAAAACCATTTTAATTCTTTGTTTTGATAACTTTATAATTTTTTTTATAATATATCAATTTTAATTTATATATTAAATTTTTTGATTTTGAAATTAAAATATAAATAAATATTATAATTTATATAAATATATATTTATATATATATATATTTATATATTTTGAAAATATAAATAAATTATAACTTGGAAATAATATTTAAAATGTGAATATTATGTAAGATTCCATTTAAGATTTTCAAATATAAATTTGATACAAACAGATATGTGTTAAATGTGTTTAGTTGTTTAATAATTATGACCTAATGAAAGTTTTATCTGAATATTTTTCTTTCATAATATCTTTCTTGAGACAGAGATATATAGTTGTATAATATATTTAATTAAATTCAAATGTTGAATGTTTTCATTCAAGAAAGAATAACATCACAATATAAACGTCGCAACATAAAACGCTAATAAATTGAATATTTATCTTAAAGGTTTAAAAATAATTAAATTATGCTATATTTTTAATGTTAAGAAATTAAACATTTTTGTTATAGAGAGAAAGTTATTTCTATTAACTTTTTATTATTTATTTATTATCATAAGTATAGTAAGATAATCCTTATAAATTTCTTAATTATACTATTCTGATATATTTTAAGAAAACATAACTTTGCTTATTTTACAGAAAATAGAGTAATATTAGAAGAAAAACTTTTTTCGACACTTACACATCCATCATTGGAATTTTTAGTTCTTCTACTTTCTTATCATTAAAATAGTATCATTTTATATCGTAAACATTTATTAATTTTTCAATTATTTTCCAGTAGGAATAAAAGAAAAAAATTCAATTTTTCCGAGAAATAATGAATTCGATAATTCCACTGTGTGAAATAAAAAATCAAAATGAAATAGGACTAGAATACAAATTTAATAAACGTTTGGTAAAAACAGCAAACGACAAATAAACGATTCGTAGATAAGCACCAGGGACTTGTTTGCCTTGGATCACACTACTCAACTGAATGAAACATTCGAACATTCATGCTCTTATAAGCCACTTACTTCGACTGCTACTAAATCCCTTTCTCAGCGTTCATGTCCAGGGCACACTGGACAGTAGAGTCACGATACAATAATGGTCCTTTTCTTTTCTTTATCTCAATTAAAACATTCTCCGACATTCAGTCATCCAATTTTATTTCAAGAAATGTGTACAGTATCAATTTTCCGGATATCTAAATATGAAAACATAAAACATAAAAACACAAAAGTTTTTAAAAACACATTACATAAAAGATCATAATATACTTACCATCTCTATTTGAGTATAATGTGTAAGAATAAAATAAAATAACAGAAGATAAAATAACGGAAGAAAATAAAATAATAATGTGTAAAAATAAAATAAAATCACGGAAGACCAAAATTAAGATAAAATAAAGATGTAGATGAATAAATAAATATGTTAAAAATAAATTGAATTAAATTAAAAAAATTATTGTATATAATTATTATATATTGTATGAAACTGTATATATGTACATATATATGAAAAATTGTTTATATACAAAAATAAATAAGCAAATAAATAAGTAAAATAAAACAAATATCTAACAGGCTATGTATTTGGTGGTGTCATATCCTTGTCCTATCCTTTCCATTATTAATTCGATCTGTTTGTGCTGTTCTGCCATTAAAAATACCAATACTAAGAACATTTTAATACTATCTAATGCCCAATATTTTGCTCTTTTCCCTTATTTCTTGATCGCATATTCTGTATATGCTTAAACATTATATACATTAGTTTGAATAAAACTATTGCCATACACATCACAAAATTCATCATTAAATTAAAACCAGAAGACCTTTTATGTGGTACTTGAAAGTATTTGTGTCTCCATACATAAAAATTTAACTATGACCTACTGACATTTATATGAAGTTAAATGCTAAATGACTTACAATCCTTCCTAATCTGATCTCTAGTGAGCTTAGAATCTGTAATTCTAAAGTTACAGATTTTCACAAATCTCCGATTTTGAAATTCCAGACAACAATTCCAACCAGACATGATAATAATCCTTTTGAAAACTCAATAAAACCACTACTTTCATTTTCCTTTGTTTACAACAGAAATCTTGCTCTTAAGTTAGAAAACAAGACTTAAATATCTACTCTGGTTTCTATAATTTTCGATCCAAGATTCTTATCGCAGTTTGGAGTTTTTCTTTTTTCCTGAATTCTATTTCTGTTATACCTAGTCTTTTCGGCCCACTTTACGCGTGTATTCTCCATAGGCATATACACGCGTAATAAGTTTTTACACGCGGAAAATATTCATTGCAACAAAAACCATAAATCATTGTAATAAAGTATGGCTTTATTCGGCCATCAAAAATAAACGATCAGATGCTTTATTCGTCTGACGTTCAATAACCTTGACCCGATATTCAAATAAGTGGGAAGGCTAACGACTCAACTTGACCGATTACATTAAGGCTACTTCGTACTCGTAATCAGCTGTATAAACGATTTTCTGTAGGAAAACTTCAACCGCTAAACATTACTTAATTATATAATACAGATAGTGAAAGTGAAATTAAATGATAAAAATTAAATAATTCTGCTTGCTTATACATATAATATATAATACAAAATGAAAACCAAAATTAATTATTTGATTATTTCACAGATTATATCAAGAATTTTTGGAGATTTCAAATTTTAAATTTGTTTTTCTTTTTCTTTTTATAAGAGATTCTTACATACAATATAAATAAAATAAAACAGAAGTATAAAATAGAAAAATAAAACATAACTTGAAATATAATTTAACAATATGCTATTTATGTTAATACAATGTAATTTAATTTTCATCTATGCACTAACAATTTATTCAATGAAATGGAATAGTTATTAGAAAAATACTTTATTGATAAAAAATGTTATTCCCTAATGATTTATAACGTATTACGCGTATGTGGACTTTTATAATGTACATTTCTTTAATTTATTTAATTATCTCATAACTTATGTTAAGAATCTCTTAAAATTTTAAATTTAAATTTTCTTTTTTTTTTATAAAGCTTTCTCTGGAAAATATAAATGAAATCAAAATGTAATTTATGTTAAACAATAAACTATTCATATATAATACAATATAATTTAACTTTCAAAGATCATTTATGCATAGTACAATTGAATCTTCAACACATGGTTTATATACAGTAGAATGTAATTTACTTTTCACTGTGCATTATCTATTCAGCAGAATGGTATAGTTATTAAGTAGTATATTCTATTTATTTATAGTAAAAAATATTATTTGTCAATGATTACGCATGTATATGTAAATTTTTATAATTAACTATAAATTTCTCTAAAAATCATCCGGTTGTTTTAAATCCTTATTTTAAATCCTTAAAAATCATCAGCCGTTTATTTTTTGTACCCTAAAAATTAGCGTCGATTTAGTAAAATTATCGTTATATATTTCTGTTGTATTCTCATTATAAAATAGAAATAAATAAAGCATAACATTTAATGTAAAGTGAACTGAGAAGTGGCAAGTAAATCCGCATTCGCGGTCGAAACACGGTTTGCCTTCCAAAACTTCTACGATTTCAGAAGCACGTATACAATAAATCTAACTGTATACACTCAAGTTATAACAAGGTTTAATCTAACATTCTTCTATATTATTCTTATAATATAGAAGATATATGTATGTACGTATGTATAGAATATTAGATTATGGGACTATAAAAATATATATAGACTATATAGGTTTAATTTTCAGAATTAATCCAATTTTATTTGTTTAGTGTAATTTACCGTATTACACTGAAAATATGTTTGATCACTGTTCTTCCATTCTAGTTACAACTATAAGCTCGATAAAGGAATATGTCAACTATTGAATTTAGTGTTAATGTAAAATTATTGAAGTCTCTTGTAATGAATAGAGCTGTCCTTATGGCCTATTGTTATGATCTATTCTATATTTCTATCTGTTATTAAAGTTTAAACGAAAAAGAAATTTTCAATGATCAAATAAAAGAATGAGATAAAAACGATAATACGTTCTATAAAAGAAACGTCGAAATTCTATTTTAATTTCCACTTTTATCTCGTATTAACCTGAACAAGAAAGTATCACGCTAATAACCAAAGCAATTGATGCGACTATAAACAACTCATATAAAAAAAAAAAAGAAAGTATCGTAAAAAAAA